TCCGACACGCGTCAACCGTGTGAATTCTTTCTGGACCCTCAACCCAACCACCACCATCAACGCCCTTGGTACGTCTCGACACTCTCTTTCAGGTATATCTTAGCACAGTTAACGTAGAAATCTATTTACTATTGCTCGTACAATGAGAATTAAGCATTAACTAGACTAAGAATTAGTATTGACAAGTACAAAAATTGAGGGAGACTAAAACAAAAAGCGAGGAGTGTTACGCTCGCTGAAGGCCAGCGTACGCCTCAGCCTCGTCTCCTTGTTGTTGTCTGCACCCGAGAACCCTCAGAATAGAATGTTGACTCTACTTGTCACCCAGGCTGGGACCTCAACCAAGAAAACGGGGGCAATGCCCGAAAGTTTCGAATAACCTATAATGAACCAACAGGTAAGGTTCACACTCATCGAGTCTGAGCAAAAAGACTGACCTTTTAGCTACAGATACGACGATGCCTGCGCTATAACTTCGCGGTAGTTCCTACCCTTATCCTCCTGCAACCAGCGAGCAAAATTTCCCGCCGTACGGAATGATGTGTGCCCGGCAGGGTTTTGCGGGTACTTGGCCTCCAGGAATCTGAACGCCAACGACTGGCTCCACCCCTCCCTTCCTGCTAGCTCCCGAATCAGCCCCCAAAACTTCCCTCGGCGCGACATTTCGGTCCCAAGGCCTGTGTTTTTGGCCCTCCACCTCGGGAAATCGTTTTCCAATTGCTGCAACGACATACAGCCGTCAAATCCCTCCGAGTACTCACACCACATGTCCTCGCGAGTCACCACGTTTCGCAGAGCGTAGCGTGGTAGCCATTCGTCCGGGCGTCGAGAACCATACACTACCCATTCCCAGACATGGAGAGATGCCTTCTCTCGTCCGATCCGGGTCTCTATCTCCCCCATGGCTAGTTCCTGCTTCTCGTCGAGCTGCCCTCGAGCCAGTTCCACAATGAGATCCCCTCTACGCATGTAGTACCTCCCTAGTGCCTGTGGTGCCGTAGCCTGAGGATTAGTCGTACTAGAAATGTCCTCATGAGGCTCGGGTATGGACACATCCCCCTCGGCTGGAGGCGTCTGTACTCCCTCTGCGGCAGGAGATGACAGGGGTTGAGGTGTGGCGGGAGGTGATGAAGGCGGTGGAGATGTGGCAGGAGAAGCTGTGGGAGTGGAAGATGGTGTTGGTAAATGGAGAGCCAAAGGGAGACGAGATGTCTTTCTGTTCCTCGTGCTCCTCGACTTCGCTGGTTTCTCAGAGTGGCCTGGAACGGATCGAGTCAACGAGCTAGGTTCCAAACGCATCCGCTTCGCTGGCGGAAAGAACGTGCTGAACTTCACAGCATCTGTAAGTCCTCGTATTTCAGCCTTCACATCCTCCATCTGAGTCTTATGTTCCAGCTGAATTGCCTCCACCCGTGCCTCACTTGCGAGGGTGATACCCTCCAGCGCGCGAGCCATATCTTCCGGATACTTCTGGAGGCTCGCGCTCGCGGTTGCAACGGCAGCTTTGACGGCATTGGCTGCGTCAGTGGCGAACGAACGGAACTCAAGGGCGTTGAAGGGAGCATAGCTGAAGACAACATACGAAGGATTTTCAGCGTAGAGCATAGCGAGATCCTGGCAAAGGACCTCCCGAAGCTTCCCAAGCAGGTTCAGGAAATTTACGAGCGCGAGGTCGAGTGCCTTTCTCCCATGTTCCTTGCGGCGTTCCTCATATTTCTGCATCTCCTCCTCTATCCATGGCCAAATTTGCCCAAGGAGCCATGCCGGCACAACTGCGGCGTCAAGTCAGCTCATGCAGGATATTCAAGATGAACAGAAATGGAGATCATACCTATCTGCCCCCGGGGAAGAGCATGTCGTTCCGGGTGATTGGCGAGGAAAAATGCAGCCCCTAGCATCGCTTCCAGAGGAAGCCGAAGATCGTAGCACTGCTTGAATGAGCCCTGCTCGTTCCAGCCGCCAAGCGCCTTCGTGGCAGCTTCGGATGCTCCGTACAAGCGAGCGTTGAAGGCACCTTGTACGCGACCCATATGAGTAGCCTTTGACACATGTATGTCGTTCTTTGTATGAATAGCGTGTATGACGTTGGCGTGGGCTAAATGAATATTTTTTCAGACTTTGTATTGGGAAAGTCGGGCTGAACAGCTTACCTGCGTACCCGAGCGGCTCGCTTTGGTTTTTACCACCCGGAAACAGGCAAAAGCCGTACCATTCACGATAGCCAAACTCCCCGGCGTTGGGATGCTCAAAATCGGGAGCAAAGTCGGGGACCGTCCTATTTAGAATGTGGAAGCAGCTGAACAAGTACATGGCGAGGGCTCCGATCCCACACATGTCAACAACACGGTGGCGGATGAGCCCATGCTCATCCCGTCGGCCAACGTGATTATTCTTCCCCATGTTTGACAGGAAGGCCACGGACTAGGTTTTGTCAGCCATATGATATCCCCGGAGTAAGAATCAGCTCACTAGGATGTCGTGTTTGTGGCTCATGCTACCGTAAAGGTCCATGGCGTCCAGCGCAGGATTCGGCGTATATCTGAAGAAGAAATCAGACCAGCACAATCTCCTGGTGTTGTCTCCTCGGACTAAAGAGTGCGCGGTGAGGAGGAACATGCAGCGGTTCCTGACACCGAGATGAACCTCGGTGTTTCCAGAAAATTCGCCATCAATGCATGAGCGTGCAGCCTTCCTGATTTGCTCCGTTGTGTAAGTATCTGTATCACGATTATTCACTTTTGTGGTTCGCGAGCGTATTAACATATGCTGACCACTTACCTGCAGATGTCCCCGCGGCCTTGAGCCTCTTCGCCTCGTCTTCGCGAGTTCTTTCGTTCGCTTGAGCAGCCTCCTCGATCTTCTTGATCCGGCTATCATCCCTCAGAGGTCTCTGAGCCTCCGGATCGCCCCTGTGTTCGTGCTCGGTTCTCTGCCGGAGGTTTTCGAGGGAGTTAATACAGCTCTTGATGCTGTGCACACCGAGGCTTGAGTTAGGAATTTCTACTCCTCTGCTGTCTCGCTATGATTATATGAGCGACACACCGTGATCCTGTCCCTGATGGCTCACCTTGTTTCGGGTCATGGTATAATCCAGGAACAGAGCCGCTTTCGCAGCGGTGACGGGTAGTGGTTGCTCATGGTCCCACCCGTTCGATTCTATCCGAGGCGCCACTGTCGACCACCACCAAGTCTTATACTCGTTCCACCACTTGCCATATAAATCCGCAGTGCCGCCCATCTCATCTTTCTCCTCCTGGCGGCGAGCCCGTTGTGCTTGCGTTTCGGCTTCGATAGTTTCGCGGAAAGTTGAACTCCCGCCCACAGATCCGCTCTCAGACGCCGGTGACACAAGGCCAGCAGTCTGGGGAGTCAGGAGATCCTGCAGCCTTTCGCGAGGAATAGAAGACATGGAAGGCGGCGGAAGACTGAATATCGTGGTCTCTATGGAGATTGAGAAAGGGTTGACTGGCTGACTTAGTGACGGAGCTGGAGGACAGGGTCCAGACGCGATGGTTTCTCTACGAGCACGAGGAACCGAGGAGCGTTTAGCGGCGCGTACGCGATCTGGCGCCGTCGAATGAGGCGACCTGAGGACATGACGGCGTCTCTTTGGCGAGTCTAATGCATCCGACCGTGCCATTGTTCCTAGCCGTCTCGCGTTAATTCCAAGCCTAACAATCCATTCGAAATGTCAGACCTTGTATCTCTGAGTATGTAGTGTTGCGAATATGACTCCTTTGATAAATTTTGCTGTGCTTGTGTGGTTTTTTTTGCGACTGCTTCGGCTGAGATGAGAGAGAACGGAGAGAGACACGCTGAGCACCTTTTCGAGGGCCATTTCGATCTCGAGTTGCAAACAGTCACGCTTAGTTCGTTCGGGTAGAGGCATCTGGCTACTACAAAAGACGCTTGTCTCCGTTTACCCTGAATATCCTAGGTGTAAGTGCCCATGTAACCATGGGCCATTTGGCCGTGCCCATGACCATGCCCACGCCTATAGTAGGGTGTGTATTATACTCTATATTCCCTCGGATACGCGAACGAGTGTATTTGAGGTGCCGTTTCCGCTTTTTTTTTTGACATCAATTCATTGTGCGGGGGGCGAACTGCCCAAGATGCACATAATCTCTACCACACCTCTCTATCCTATCTACCTAGACTAAGGGGCTCCTGCCCCGGTGTCGTTCTCCGTCCCGAAAGCCACAGTGACGGAGCAATTCCCCCACTGGTCCGAGACGTCCTGGTCTCGTTTTTGATGGCGGCGGAGGGTCCAAGGGACGTAGGGTGTCTTTTCACGCCTTGTGCCCACCCGTTCGTATCATAGTCGTTCACGTACCCGCCGGAGCGGGTACTGCCGTCGTGGACGGCGGGCGCTCTTTCGAGCATGAAGGTCTGTGGCATCTTGTTTTCTTCGAATTTTGCAGCTATATCTGCTTAAAGCGTGGTTATCCGTTGTCATTGCAGGTTAAACGAGCTCACCAAAGGAAGACCTCAGTCGTTTTGTGCGTCGCACGTAGTCCACTAGTGCAGCAACATCTCTCTCCTTCGATATGATCATCTGCGCCAATGATGATGATCGACGACCCAGCTTTAGTTTTAGTGCGTGTCGTTCCTGCGTTCCTTCCTGTATGCCGGGCACTCGAAAAGAAAGTGCCGTATTGCCGTTTCCGCTTGGATGCCCTTGTTTCTTCAAAAGTTAAGGTGAGTCTGGTTTCGCAGGATGACGGGTTTCTTACTCACTGGGCATAACTTGGAGGTGGAATACGAGTCCAAACTGGAACTAAACGGGACCACTCTCCAATCAACATGCCCCTCAGCTAACCAAACGCTCGCAACTAGACGAGGTTTCAAGTTGAATTACCGTCGACCTGCCTTCGAACACGGACCTACTCATTTCTTCTGACGGGGCAGATTAATTGCTTGGAAGCTGGAACCTTCACTTGATACATGGCGCGTTTACGTACCGGGTACACAGGTTCGTCGAATCTCCTCCATCAGACTCCGTTATGGTGTAGTGGCTAACATTATCGCCTCTCATATTATTCAGATTGGTAGCTGAAGGACGCGATAGCCCAGGGTTCGATTCCCTGTAACGGAATACCTCATCCTCGTCACTTATTTTTTTTTTTGGTCTCGGCCAGTAATCAGAATGAGGAATGATTGATGGAGCTTGAAGACCCAAAGGCACGGTTTCTACTTCTCAGCACAGGACAGGTGCGAGATCGAGTCAACGTCTATATCCTTACCTTTGGCGTGGGTAGGTGTCTGTGGGCACACAATCGGCAGAACGACGTATGTGCGGATTGAATCCACATAGCCCAAAAAAGACGCAGGGGAAAGGAATCGTGTGTCTATGCTCAATCGATCCACGAATGCGTCGCCTGGAATTCTTCTGGGTACCGGACTGTGGATAACAGAGACCGCGAGCCTGTCATTGAGAACCTCCGAACGCATATTTACACGCCCAGTCGGATTCACACTGCATAGGAAATGTACGCAAGTTGAATAAACGGAATGCCAGCGGCGGCGAGGACCGAAACGCAAAGCGACGGACAGAGCGCACATGAGTGATCGGGAAGAGGACGTAGACAGCCTCCTGCCAATACTTGTGGCGGCTCGGATGGCTGCCAAAACGACAAAGGAAGCATTCACTGTAAAATGGCCGGATGAGGACCAGCTTGAGTTCCGTGAGTCAACCATCGAAAACATGGCAGATGGTAATGGCACAGACCGCTCCTCTTCAGGGAGACAAAATTTCGATCCTTTTAAGGACGTGGACCTCAGGACTCTCAACTCCACTGCGTGGTGATGGACTGGAATTGCCGCCATGGACCGCTGGTACATATCCGAAACTTGGTGAGCAGTCTATCCCTTCAACTTCCGAACTTTACAATTCCATACAGACAACTTGGTGTCCTGTTTTGGTACATCATCACCATTCAGGAGAAATCTCAGCGATACTATTTGTTATATGTTTCATCATACTTATAAGACAACGATAGAGCGTTCAAAGTAGAGTGATGGTTTCATTTAGTTCAACTCGCCGTGGTTCACGAACCATTCATATGCTGCCATAACATCCATAGCAGCCCTGACGACATCAATATTGTCAGAGTTCTTCATCAGCATCCATATATCGACCAAGGAGAAGTAAACGGGGGATATATCCTGCCCCACCCCAGTCGCTTTCCATTCCTGAAAAGTCTGATAGTTCGGACTTCGTAGGATAGATTGAGCCAGCTCTTGATCGCCACCGCCCATACCCTCAATATGTTGCTTCAGGCGCAAGTATTGTTTATACTGATCAGTCTCCTTGATCTTCTCGTCAAATTGTCCTCTACTTGGAATCCCATCGTAATCGGCTTTGACCAGCTCGTCCCACGCATCGTTGACACCCGGCTGGGTTCTGTCCGCCCAATTAATCTGCACTCGCAAAGCCAGTCAGCCTCTTTTTTTCTACGAACGTCAGAAAGCCGAGGCCTGTGACAGACTTACGAACTGGTAAGTAGATCCATATTCCACGCCGGTGACAATATGACTCCCGAACCTTTGGAAGAATGCTTGGTACTGCGCAACGGCGGACTGATTCTGTCCACTGAAGGGAGGCAGTCGACGAACGGTCGATAAGAAACTGTTGCTGTCGGGTTTGAACAAAGTATTGAAATTCGAGAGTGTCGCCGAAAATCTAGGCTGGCGCAATGAATAGAAGGCATATTGATCATCGGGTCGGATGCATTTGGTCGTTATGGCTTTCAGCACAGAGTCCCCGCCCGCGATGTGTAGGAGTCGAGGAATGAGGCCGGGATTGGATTCGAAATTAGCGATCGCTTCTTGACCCGTAGGGAACGTGGTGAACGTTTCTCCTCCGGGGAGGTTCTGCGAAACGGCGATGTGTCTTGGGACGCTGTAAGTTTGTCCATCTTAATTGCCACGGGATCCAATTAGCAATACTATATGGACTCGGGACTCGCTCCGATGTGCTCACCGATGTCGACTGGCCTGGCCTCGTCTTGATCAAACTGGAGAATATGCCGGCTTGTCTGGATCATTTGTAAGGCCTTTAAAGGGCGGAACGCAATCGGTTTTGAACTGTACATTGTCGCGACGGAAGCGAGACACGTACCTGGTTGGGAGTGAGCGGGGGTCTTGCAGTAGCCTGGAGAAAGAAAGAAAAGTAGAGGTTGGCAAAGTTATGGTCCCCTGACAGGTCTTAGAGCCCACCATGTTCATGCTATACCCGAGCAAGCCGCTTGCAGGGAGCTCTGCCATGTTTATGAAATGTAAAATGTGCCTCAGAGGAGAGGATGGGGAATATGCAGTGAGGCGAGCGCCCTTTATCAAAGGAAACACGGCTCGGGAGTCGGTCAATCAGTCCGTTCAACTTCGCTCCTGAGCCGAACGCCACCGAAAAGTCACCGATTTGTTAAGTGGAGAGAAGTGGAATCGGAGGCCTTCATACAGCAGACACGTTGAGAAAAAGAATTTGGAAGCATTTGAACCGAACAGATTTTGAAGGGATCCTGTATGCGACTCTTGATCGAGGGCCAATCGAATTGCTGGGCTTTGACAAAAGGAAACACATTGTGTCAGTACACTGAGCTGGATTATCACTGAGTACTTGATTGCGAGAGTCAATCAAATACATACCGCACCAGTATACCCCCTACCTCAACCTCACTGCCATTATCGGTGTGAGTTATGGAGATCGAGTGGCGCCGGTAAAATCGAATGAGCGAATACCGCTATGCACATGGCTCAAGAGAGCCCCGTTGGCAGGTTTCCGGAATGATGATACGTTCGAAATGGAAGGCAGCTGACATGGGTCCTTGGGGCGTTGGTTGGGTAAAGAGAACTAGGCGAGATTGATTTAAATAATTGCGAGTGCACATCATGTCGAGTGAAGTACGCAGAACCCCTGTCAATTCTGAGCCCCGAAAAGGTTGAGATCATTTAGAATACGACACATCGTGCATAACGGGAAATCATGATCGTGGTACGGGAAAGAAAGAAGATCAAAACGCGACACGCGTTTTGACAGACTAAACCATATTCAAGACAGGTTTAGAAAAATCACGGGCTTCTCCAACCTCCGTTATGTTATGGTGTAGTGGCTAACATTATTGCCTCTCGTACTGTTCTACATTTGTCCACTGAATAAAGGACGCGATAGCCCAGGGTTCGATTCCCTGTAACGGAATTGTTTTGTTCCTCTACACTCGAATGTGCGTCTGATATTACAACAGATATAAAAATCTAACTAGGCCTTTGTACCAAACCTCTTCGCCCTCTCCTCCCTCCTCTTCTTCATCAACATCGACGACACCGGTCTCTACATCAAACTTTTCCGCCCTCTTCTTCTTCCTGTCTGTTTCTTCTGTCGGTGGTTGAGGGGAAGCGCGTTTCTTGGATGACTTTGTTGTGGTGTGTGTGTCTAAGCGATGACCAGAGTCGTCGACGCCGAACCGAAACGAGCTGCTCTGACTTTTAGTTTGTCTTCGTCGACGGGCGGGGTGGTGGTGGTGGATTTGGGGGTTGGAGCAGTGGGGGCGGGTTGGTATTGGATACCGAAACGCCCTGCGCGTTTTCGGCGTTTTTCTTCTTCTGGGTCGGCGGTGGTGGGGGTGGATTCAGGAGGAGGCACGGCGGGGGTTGGAGTTGGCTTGGACGTTGAGACTGGTTCAGCAGCCGACTCTGGTTTGAACTATTCATATGCTGCCATTTTCGTCCCGACGAATTACCGCTATCACGGTGTGCATGTCCGTTCAGGAACAAAAGTGCAGGCTATCATGATATCACACCTGGGAGAAAAATCACAGATAGCAAAGACGGACGACACCTCAGTGCTTCGGTTACGGTACCAGCGAGGAGCAGCATAGAAATCAGAAGGAGGAGACAGCAAAAGAAAACGACTCACGAATGGGAACACCGGGAATCGGCGGGGCCGTCCAGACATCCAATTGATGGTGGCTCAGAATTCAAGTATGGCTATGTACCATGAAAGCAATACATATACCACGACTTGAAGCTACAAGCTTCACTTGCTGACTGTATAGCACAACCACTGGGCAAAAATTACATGTAAGATTCAAGTCCGGCGTACGAAATTTCCCTTTCAACGAACTTTCCATGGGTAAGATTTATCTTGCATAGTTCGGAGTCTACAGCAGAAATCAAATCGAAGTCCCCAAGATTTGGAGACAAGGACATCTCGATTTGAATGGGATGGTGGTCCTATCGGGCGAGATTCGAGTACCGCGAGAGCCCAGCTGGACGAATTTCTCACACATAGCCACTGCCGGCGAATTACTCGCCGATCGGAAGGACATTATAGGTGCTTGTGGGCATCAAATATAGAGTTCCCCAGGAACTGATTTCTAGAAAATGGAAATTCCGCGGTTTCTAAACTGACAATATGGTACGCTTTTGCATTTCAAGTTACTTTCAAGATTACATGCTTATGATCTTTTCTTTGTATCAAGAGTCCGGGAGTGACCTGTTGGACGTCAGGTAAACTTCCAATGAGCTGCGGAAAAACGTATCGGTCAACATGAACGTCTTCCTTTGAAAATGTGTCATCAACATACCATTGAGCTCAGAACCGTGGGCCGTTGCCCTACTGAGGGTCTTTGTAACTTTGATTGACCAAAAGCTCCATGACACGAAGCTCGGCTGCGAAGTTCTTTTTTGAGCCGCCCTGTAGTCCCCGCCAAGACGCCTCGTCTTTAATATCGGCTTCTAGCTTGATTGTCGTAACCAAAAGGTGTAAGTAGTCTGGAAGGTCCTGGCTAGGGAGTGCGAACTGAAAGCGATACTCCCAAAAGGATTCCGACCCGGAGCTCGACTTGGAGAAGTCAGCCCAGCCACTGGCCTTGGCTGCGTCCAAACTGGTAAAGGTGTTTTCCAAGTTCTCCTGGAGTACAACGATATCCCTCTCCGCCGAGGTGACACTGATCACTCCGCGCAAGATATCGGCTACCTTTTTAGCCATGTCTGAAACAGTCGCCTCTTGCCGGTGGATGGAGTCGTCCTTGAACTTGTTGAGCGTGAGGTCGTTGCCTTTCAAGTGTTGAAGTCAATCGTAAGTATATCGTTCGTGAAGAATGATGGACATTGCTGAGCTCACCTGGGTATTCATTGACTTTGTTCAAGAACTCGGGCCATTTAAATGCCTTGGGTTCTTTGGGCTCGACGAGGTGCCCCGCGAATGAGGCGACCTCGCGAGCAGCGTGGACAAGGTTTCCAGGAAGCCTGCTGAGCTGAGAATCAAAATAAGTAGAGCCTGTAGACGGGAGTCAGCACAGAGCACTCGATGATCATCAGTGTGCAGCCTACCGTCGGAGGACATGGCGATGTTTGTTGAGGTAGAGCTAGCCCTGGAGTGAATTCAACTCGATGGTACTCGAGGTGCGTTGATAACCAGGGATGGGGGTGAAAGCTCCAGCTTTTATACTCTAAGCTGCATCCGACGCATCCGGACTAATATATCAGCGATAGAGTCAAACCACAAGCTTCTTCATGAAAGAGTGGTCCGAATTCTGGATGTCACCCCGGCACAGTGGCGTGTCGAGTTTGGAGTTGAATCTAGTTTAATTCAGAGATTAGTGAGAACATGCCTCCTCGTTTCTGTGTCTTTCCAGGTCGGAGAATGACAATATGTCAGTGACATATTAGGGGCACGGCTATATCTTGAAATGAACACCATAGGCCAGCCGATGTCTATTGGAGTGGACGATAGAAGTTGTGCAACCGAAATGAGAGGTGGTGTGTGACGTCCTTTCATGTCGCGGAGCAAAGTACTGAATTACTGAAGAGCTTGCAAGTCGCTATGCCGAACAGGAGATTAGAACGAATGAAAGACGCCATCCTACCTCTTACCTCTGACAGAACGTTTGTCCCGACCAACGATTGATGTAATGTTTGGGTCCTTTTCGAGGTCAAGGAGAAGTTCTATTCGAAGTATCTTTTCTTGCCCGAGTAGTCGTGTCCTTGCGGATCGTGCAAAAGGCAAAGATGTGGGAGTCTTCCCATTGCAATTCCATTGTCCTCCAACCGTCCTCTTCCAATCCTAGTGAGGGCTTCAACCGCACCTGATGAAACAGGCCGAGAGAAGGAGGCCGAGAGGCAGCCCCAAGAGTCAGGGCAAGATGTAAGTTGAGTGAGAGCTTTCTCCCCCGTCTTCTTTGAAGGCCTGTTAACTGTGATCAGTACTGCAGGGAATAAAGGCTACCCCAAAAGGAGAACAACCTCCTTTGTCCAAGGTCAGCAAGAATCTCGTCTCAACCGTGATGCAGCCGTGAGCCCACCCATGGCCTCTCGTTTTTCCGAGGCGACGTACCGATCCCTGGCAACGCGAAATCGTCGACTTGCCCATTGCCAACGTAGTACCAGTAGGTATGCCACTCGATCGCAACATATTCCATAACGCCGTGGACTCTCGAGTACGCGTTCATCCTTGAACTTCCGTTGGGCGAGCGACTCGCGTGAAATCACAGACTTTGTGTCCTCCAGTAGCAGTACTAGCTAAGGTTCCGGGCATACGCACCGGACAGCTCGCTGCGCTCGGTTCTTATGCTTCTGCCCTGCACCTGAGCTAGGCAGGGCTCCGCCCCTGCACCCCGCCTGGGACTACGCCCCAGAGGACCCAACCTTTTCCTCTTTCCTCGAAATATGCACCGCAAGCGGCCGGTTTTGCTCGTTACGAAGTGCTAGTAATGTGCTAGTTTTGGTGAACGAGAAGTTTTGGGCGCGCTCAAGCACGACCTTGTTCTCGAGAAGCGCGAACGATGATACCCAGAAGGTTGGTAATTCAGATCGAAGCCCCCAAGGGCCCTACTGGTTCAAGTTCAGAGAGCGGGGGCTTTGCCCCGCCATGCGTACATACTTACAACGTGAGGTTGTTGGTAATATGTAGTACGTTGTACTCGAAGGTATAGAGTTGGACTGTGACCTTTCTGTACCGGTATTTCGATATCTATGATTCTCGAGGGAGGAAGGAACAAGAGCGCAGAAGCGCCGCGGCTGCCTCACCAGGCCAGCGTAAAATGATTAGCTGACTCACAGACCACACTGTGGAAGACAGACATGATGAGCATAAGCATGATTGGAGGTAGGAGGTACTCACCTTGCATACGTCCTTCTTCTGCCTCTCCCTGAGCCGATAGTCCCCCCAAGACAATCCTCTGCATAGCGAGCTGTTGACTGGCAGTCAACGTTAATCAAACACATTAAACGGTCGATAAGATGTTGAATTCAGATCTAGTAAGTTGGTACACGAGTACTTGCGTAGTATTTCCTCAAATTGACACGGTATTTGAGAGAAAAGATGGAGGACTGCATGAGCTGCTCGCCGCCAAGGCCCAAGGACGACGAACTCGAGAAAAGGAAATGTTGAAACGACATCGCCAGATAACTACAAACAAAAGTCGACCAGGCCAATTCGCCAGAAACAGTAATTGCTCGCTTGCAACAAACTCATCTTGAGGGTATCGTATCACCTTCCCGGCCATCAACGTTTTTGAGCTTTGTTGACACCCCGCAGTCAACTTGTTAGAAGTGAGGACACGCACGCAAGTTCGGTAGACAGAAGACAGCCAGCGACGACGACACCAACGAAACGGATGTGACCGAAAACAGGACATAGACACAGAGGGCATATCGGGATGTCCCTCGAGTCGAGAGGATGGCGATTTTTGGACCCTTTGAAGTTCGAACGGCGGAAAAGAAAAGAGTCGAATGATTTCGAAGGTCCGGGAATGGATTCGAGTTTCTCACCCTCGGTATTGAACGAGGTGATATGAAAACAAAAGGCGTTCCATTCATCTCCGTTATGGTGTAGTGGCTAACATTATCGCCTCTCATAAAGTCTGGTATGTTGGACTCCCAGACGCGATAGCCCAGGGTTCGATTCCCTGTAACGGAACTCGGATACGTCTGATGTAGTTTTTGTTCTCCAGAATGGTCTCTCATCGACAATGACCCCAGCCCTCGAACAGTAAGTGAGAGAATTCGATAGCTACCCCGCCCGGAACTGAAGGATCTGCCATCCCCCGCTAATTCTTCGTCAAATGTTCGTAGAAGAGAAGAGAAAAAGTGGGTGGGGTGGCGTCGTCCCGACAAATGCTCTAGCACCGTGGATGTACACATTCCGTGCCCAGAATCTAATAGCGTTCGACATAATCATGACCCCCCCCCCGAGAAAAAAAGCACAGCACTAAGTTGCGTGCACAGGGCGCGAGTGTGTCTTATCCAGTGGGTGACGGCGAACGATAGCGAGAGTACGATTGGAAGAAAGGCAAGAGCTGTACAGGTGTACAACAAGAATCGACTCGGGCAGTCGCGGCACTGACTTCTCAGATATCCGAACGAGGAACTCGATCATGCCTTGAGAATAAGGTCCGGTATGCATACTTACTACGACCTCGAAGCTGTACTGCTAATTTTCACATTGCGGCGAGGCTGGGCTTCCCTTGTGTCAGTCTGTAAGAGGCCAGTCGCCGATGGGAATACCTGGATTGGTTTATAGGGGATCATTTCAAAATCAGCGTTGATGGCGTTAGTACTCAGTATCGGCCTATATTTCGTCGAATCTTGACGATTTCGTCCGTCGCCTTCAACGAATTATTTACCAGTTTTGTCAGGGAAGAAGAAACGAACCGGGATCGACTCGAAGCAATACGAGTACGGGACAAGCAAAGCCATCATGATCAGAACAGGATCATACAAATCGTTAGCCCTTCCGACTTCCGTTATGGTGTAGTGGCTAACATTATCGCCTCTCATGATTGAATGATCTGGTCGAGCGCGATAGCCCAGGGTTCGATTCCCTGTAACGGAAATACATGATCTCGTAGTCGAAAGTTTTGTTGTTCTCCTCTTGCTCCCCCCCCCCCCTTCGCCAAAAAAACCCACATCCGTCTGCTCTGGTGTGTTTCAATTAGCCTGAGCCCTCGCGTTGTGGGTGCCCGCGTTTCGTACCGATTCAAGTACCCTGTTTCCCCAGGACGAGGTGTTGTTTTGTTTGGTTCATACTGACTGAATAGCAGCACGATTGTGAAAAAAGTAAAAGAAATCAAGCTCAAGGATGAAAGTGCACGGCGCTCGAATGCTCAGGCCCATATGGGTACACTCTGAACATACTCGTTCGAAAACGACTCGATGTGTCTCAACCGTGTCCCGCCAGCCTGCGGAATCAATCTCCCTTGTGAGTTGTATTGATGGCATTGGCCCAGGTATTGAATATCTCCTTCAACTTGGCAGAGAGGGGGAGAAAAGGTCGGATCGTGATTTCGCGGTCATGGTCGTGGTACGGGAGAGAAGAACATGACCACGCATTTTGACAAGTAAAGCCATCAGAACATGATCATACTCATCGTTAGTTTTCCCAACCTCCGTTATGGTGTAGTGGCTAACATTATCGCCTCTCATAAGGCGCTTTCGCATAATGCATCGGACGCGATAGCCCAGGGTTCGATTCCCTGTAACGGAATTGTTTTTTCCTTTCAACAACTCGAATGTGCGTCTGATATTACAACAGAGATAGAAAATCTAACTAGGCCTTTATACCAAACCTCTTCGCCCTCTCCTCCCTCCTCTTCTTTTCCTCATCGTCAACATCGACAACACCGGTCTCTACACCAAACTTTTCCGCCCTCTTCTTCTTCCTGTCTGTTTCTTCTGTCGGTGGTTGAGGGGAAGCGCGTTTCTTGGACGACTTTGTTGTGGGAGGTGCGTCTAAGCGATGACCCGAGTCGTCGACGGCGATACCGAAACGAGCTGCTCTGGCTTTTAGTTTGTCTTCGTCGACGGGCGGGGTGGTTGTGGTGGTGGATTTGGAGGTTGGAGCGGTGGGGGCGGGTTGGTATTGGATACCGAAACGCTCTGCGCGTTTTCGGCGTTTTTCTTCTTCTGGGTCGGTGGTGGTGGTGGGGGTAGATTCAGGAGGAGGCGCAGCGGGGGTTGGAGTCGGCTTGGACGTTGAGACTGGTTTAGCAGCCGACTCTGGTTTAGTCGTCGATTCTGCTGGTTTAGTGGGCTCTATCCAGTCCAAACTAGAGCGAGTTAGAATAAATGTGTAGAACAGAGGCAGACAACTCACTCCTCTGGCGGAGCCAACAAATCGTCCTGCTCGGTTTCATGCTCCTTCTTGTACGCCTCCAACGCCTCCTTTGACGCCAATATCCTCGAAATCAGATCCTGCTTGTTCGACTTTGCAGGTGCTGCCTGGTCCACATTCGTCAGAATAGCCCTCAGGTCCACCACCTTCAACGCCTTGAGTTTGGATTCCATGGGAGAGAGAGAAAGACAAGAGAGTACACGTGATTATCTCACACGGCCCCTCTTTCTTGTTTATCTACTCGCTCTCGTCCGACGTTTACCTCCGATACGCCAGCCAATCACAGATGGAGCCCTCCGTCGTCGATCAGCTCTTCCCTCCAAATGCTTACCAACACGTCAGTTACATCGACCAGGATTCCTTCCAACAGCCACAACAACAAGGAGATGTACAGCAGGTGACGGGCAGCGACGATGAGCCGTTGTATGTGAATGCAAAGCAGTATTTTAGGATTTTGAAGAGGAGAGTTGCGAGGGCCAGGTTGGAAGAGGTGCATCGCTTATCGAGGCAGCGAAAGGTGCTCCATTTCTCAGCCGACATTATTTTTTTACTGATAAGGATTGCTTAGCCCTATTTGCATGAATCTCGACATAAACATGCGATGCGTCGACCCCGTGGGCCTGGTGGAAGGTTCCTCACCGCAGACGAAGTAGCTGCTCAAAAGGCTGCCAATCCAAAAAGCCCTGGTGAAGAAGACACTGCAGAAAACGACGTAGAAGAAGAATTGGTAGAGGAGGAAGTCGAGGAGCAGCCTCAACAACAACCTCCTGCAATGACCATGAGCCCCGTCAACGTCTACCAACCACAACAACCACAACCACAGCCAGGCCCAAGCCATCTCTACCAACAACACGCTCACATCCACCCCTCCCAGCTTCACCAACATCAACCACCCCCACAGGCAGTACCAGCACCGCCCGTCAACTCTGCGCCAGTCACACTCACCTCTCCCTATCCCACACACCAACACCAACACCACCAGCATTCTCACACCACTCACCATCATTCCCATCCACACCATCGTCACGGCATCCAGATGCACCACGTACCGCATCCCCACGCACACGCTCGTCATCACCATCCGACCCTCAATTTCGAACAGCAGTTGTATCCTGATCAAGGGAACTAAAGAGTCATCTATGTATTAATACCCAGGTTGGAATGAACATTATTCGATTCACACACAGCGTCCGACAGTTTCCTCTATCTATTTACTCACATGGAAGGCATCATCGCGCGTTCATTCGCCCACAACTATGCGTTCTGCAATTGGAAGATTCAACGTTGAACGTTGAAGGCCTAGACTTGCGGAGAACACCGGGATGTGGGCACCGTTCGTTTGATTCCACGACTCTACACACCAATCTACTAGTCCGACAACACCGATGGGAAACACCACGAGAACGTTGCTTATCGAGGCCCCAGCGCCAGCCTTCAACTTTCCTTCTCGGGCACTCTCTGCGCTTGTTCGTTGTAAGCTACAAGCTGTATCAAGCACACGATCGACGAGTCACCACAAGATAGATACCCCCTTGTCGACAATCAGCCCACTCCTAGCCTCCGAAAGCGCGCACCGTGACTGATGCTGTCCTCCCTCCGCGTCCTGAGCCTGAATGACCACCACAGTCTTTTTGCTCATGAATGTGATTCTGCCACCTACTCCCAACGTTGATATTTTGACACCACCCACCGATGGAAAACCAATCTACTATGTCGTGAGGCGGAAGACTCGGAAGACAGCCGCGCCCCTCAGGTTGGGTTTCAGTGGTATCGATATGTCGCTCCTTCGATTCTTTTCTCAAGTCGAAAACTTGTGTGATTTTCTCTCTCTCTGAGTTTCGGCTTCACAGGGTTATACATTATGAGCTACCTTCAGCTTGTAACGCCAGCCAGCCACCGGGGGATTTCCTTACCACCGGCACATGAATCTCGGTCCACCGTAGTGTCTCATGTGTGTGTGTGTGTGTGTGTGTGTGTGCGTGTGTGTGGTTTCCGGGCCGCCTGTCCCTCACTCCCTTCTCCCCATTCTCGGCTCGTCCGCCTCTAGCTGTACCCATTCATCGCCGTGGGTGAACCAGTCAAAAGGCTCGTGTTCGGGTTCTGGTCTCTCCTCTCCTTTCGTGGTCGGTGAATGCGAGCTCCGACTCGGTGAATGAACTCTGAGAGCGCCAGGCGAGAACGTCGGGTAGTACAATATCTCTCGAGGGCTTCCGGGAGTATGGTTCGTACTTCTCTGGTTTGGAAAAATCGTTCGCCACATGTACATGGGCAGCCGGTGTTCCTCGACCGGTACGAATTCCATAATGACAATGAACCCATGTCCTGTATGGCAATCGAACTGGTCGTCCGAACGCTTCTCGTGGGGTTTCTTTGAGAGGGCATCGTCCCACGATCATTCGCCCCTCGTCTTTCAAGGCACGGCCTCTCGACGATTCTGAGTCTGTGAGTGGCATTGAGATCCAATATGGAAGGCCTAGACTTATCGAGATGTAATTATCGTTCGTTGGGGTGGCAGAACCACACGTCGGGCCTGGATATCACGATTCCAACCCCCAATCACCCCTCAATGCACGAGAACGAACCCCATCCTTCCCTCCTTCTCGGGCCTCCCCCCGGCCTATGGCAAGCTTTTTCAGAGTTTCCACTCTAACGGTTGTAAGCGACCTCTACCTCTCTCAACTCGTCAAGAAAAAAAAAATAAATCAAACGACGTCGTCTATTTTCCATATCTATATTAAGCACACAGTCGGTCGCGATACTACTCCAACTCGTTCTCGTCCTCGAAACCTAGAACCATAAACGCCCGAGTTGGACGGTTTGAGAATCCCGTTGGTACCGTCGCAGGCCTGATAGAAACACCCTCGGAGTCAAGGTGGGCGGGAAACCGTAACGATGAGAAGGAATGAACCGCGGGGCGTTCAATATCTTCCGAAACATCGACACCCCTTCTCTTTGGATGATTTGATTCACTGGATCGATCCGGCGAGGCTCACGGCCCGTATGTTCAGTGTTCACCGGCCCCCGTGGCAAGGCGACTCAAACTGACTTCAGCACCAAAAACTCTATATACCTACCCTATGTGAGGTTCAGTTTTAACCTTCAAGTTGCAATGCCAGCGGGGCGGATCACTGCACTTACATACCTCTATTCACCTGAGCAGCCACCCATATCCTCGTGAACCGCACCGATCCCTCCAAGCGGATCTCTGCGCTAACTCTACGCCCTCCCCCCTCGAGGCCACCCGATAACTTGAACGCTCCCTATCTGCCAGGTTCTCGAGAGTGAAGGCCGTTCCAGACCTGACATTCGACGAGACCGCGAGAGTCACAACACCCCTCCCGGCCAGCGGGACGGGCACTGGGCAGGCTGGTAAATCGAGAATTATATTGGCTGGATGAGGACAAGCCTGGCCATTTCCGATCATGAACTGTACTCGAGGTAGAGCTCGGGCGTTGGCTGTGTTCGGTGACGACGCGTTCGCGGGCGATTCTGTAGAGTTTTGAAGCTTGAGGAAGAGAGAAAGTCGAGCGGTTGATACTAATCCCGCTCAGACACAGCGAGAGCTCGAGGAGACCATAGGATCCGTTGAAACAAAAGGATGCGAATGCTTGGGACTCTGAGATTCAGGTTGTCGAACAACTGAACCGTCGGGAGAGTATGTCTGTCCAGTCTTGTTTTTCTTTTTGACGTCCACTCATCCCAAGACTGGTAGCAGATACGTGAACGCGACGTAGGAAGAGCAAAGCGCGCATAAAGACAAAGGAGAAGCGAGCCAATCAATGCAAACCAGATCTATCCATAACCCCAATGTGACGAAGAAGTGCAATCTACGGTCATGGCTCCAGCCTGATTCCCGGCGAAAAGAACTCTAAAGAGAGGTGTTTTGAAGAGGCCTGAGCGCGCAACAAGGAGATGACAGACCAGAGCCTTACTGGTGGTGGTTACGGAAAACATTGGCCGCTTGCTTCGTTGTTTCGGCCCGGGCTGGAATTTCCCCTGAACACTGGCTCTCACCCTGACCACTACGTTACGTCCAGTTGAAGCCCATCTATCTCTCCCCCACGCGTTGTTCAAAGTCACTTCTAGTCCTCTGCAATGGTTCAAAGATTCAACTGAAATAAGCCACGGTCGCTACACTCGCTCTTTATGAGCTTCATAAACAACCGTCCTTCTCGAAAGGTCTGCATTTTTGTTCAACTTCTGCTTGTGTTGCTCCAAGCCTCATGAACTTTTCGGGTCCTACTAGTACCGCCCAGCACTACATAGCAGCCGCACACACCTTGGGGACCGTCATATGGCTGTATCGATCGACTTTACGCCGAAACGGCGTCAGCTAAGTTACAAATTGACCACTTATTCCAGGATAGGTTCTT